TAATACCTGTTATAAAATTTAATTGATAAATTATGCACAATAAGTGGAGAGTTATCACTTTTTCATGATGGGAAGCACTTCACAGCTTTTCGTAGGCTTTGAAGAACTTCCAATATCACTATTTTTGCACTCTGAGGTCATTTTTAAGGAAAATTAAGGGTTATTTTTTGAGCCACAGTAAACCGCGGATACTGGACCCGCAAATACTGGGATCTTACTGTATGTCATTGAGGCCAGGATCCCTTATGAAATCAGCTCACTCAGATAAGCTGTGAATGGTAAATTTTGGCCTAGATATGAGAGAATGGGTCTGTGGTGAGTGTGCACAATATAAAAAAAAAATTCTAGAAGGTGCATGATGGGCAAAGGACAACTGACCATTTGTTTTGGTTTAAAAATACCTACTGAGTTGTTTTCTAGGATGGTTTTATTGGCTGTTTCTCGGGATCATTTGATAGAGACTTACTACTGAAATAGAGATGATTATGGTTGTTTTCAAGATGAGAAGTAGCTTGATTCAAATTAGTGGAAATATTAAATTTTTGCTAATTTTCCTGAGGAAGGAAAAGGCTGCCCCTACAGCACCCAATCTTTTTTTTTTTTACAGGCTTTTTAACCCAGTAACTGTCCAAACGTAGATCTATGTTTGCTCGCCCAGCGCTCCAAATACAGTGGACCTTCACCTTATGTTAAATCCACCATACGATACATTTTAACGCAAAAATTTTGCCTCGCCTCATGCTAAAAAACTCAGCTCACGCGATTGAGACGCATCCCGTGTGGCCTGAGCACGCCTCAGCTGCCCTGTGGGTGGCAGTGTTTACTAGCCAGCCAGTGCAGTCACATCCACGCATACAATCGGAACATTTCATATTATCACAGCATTTTAAGTGATTGTACCTGCAAAATAAGTCACCATGGGCCCCAAGAAAGCTTCTAGTGCCAACCCTGTGGTAAAAAAGGTGAAAATTACTACGGAAATGAAGAAAGAGATAATTGCTAAGTACGAAAGTGGAGTGCATGTCTCGGAGTTGGCCAGGTTGTATACGAAACCCCAATCAACCATCGCTACTATCGTGGCCAACAAAACGGCAATCAAGGAAGCTGTTCTTGCAAAAGGTGCAACTTTGTTTTCGAATAGGGGATCGCAAGTACTCGAAGATGTTGAGAGACTGTTATTGGTATGGATAAACGAAAATCAGATAGCAGGAGACAGCAAATCTCAAGCGATCATATGTGAAGAGGCTAGGAAGTTGCATGACAATTTAATTAGAAAAATGCCTGCAACTAGTGGTGATGTGAGTGAATTTAAGGCCAGCAAAGGTTGGTTTGAGAGATTTAAGAATCATAGTGGCATAGTGTGATAAGGCATGGTGAGGCTGCCAGTTCGGACCAAAAAGCAGCTGAAAAATATGTGAAGGAATTCAAGGAGTACATACACAGTGAAGGACTGAAACCTGAACAAGTGTTTAATTGTGATGAAACAGGCCTGTTTTGGAAGAAAATGCCAAACAGGACCTACATTACTCAGGAGGAAAAGGCACTCCCAGGACATAAGCCTATGAAAGACAGGCTTACTCTCTTGATGTGTGCTAACGCTAGTGGTGATTGCAAAGTGAAGCCTTTATTGGTGTATCACTCTGAAACTCCCAAAGTGTTCAGGCAAAACAATGTCCTCAAGGCTAATTTGTGTGTGCTGTGGAGGGCAAACAGTAAGGCATGGGTCACTAGGGACTTTTTCTATGACTGGTTACACCATGCATTTGCCTCCACTGTGAAAAATTACCTCCTGGAAAATAAATTGGACCTTAAGTGCCTCCTGGTATTAGACAATGCTCCTGGTTATCCTTCAGACTTGGCAGAGCGACTTTCTGGGGACATGAGCTTCATTAAGGTCAAGTTTTTGCCTCCTAATACCCCTCCTCTCCTGCAGCCCATGGACCAGCAGGTCATTTCAAACTTCAAAAAACTCTACACAAAAGCTATGTTTCAAAAATGCTTTGAAGTGACCTCAGACACTCGATTGACTCTAAGAGAGTTTTGGAAAGATCACTTTAGTATCCTCAGTTGTGTAAGGCTTGGGAGAGAGTGACTAAGAGGACCTTGAACTCTGCCTGGAAGAAACTGTGGCCAGAATGTGAAGACAAAAGGGATTTTGAAGGATTTGAGGCTATCCCTGAGAAGTGTATGCCAGTTGAGGAATCCATTGTGGCATTGGGGAAGTCCTTGGGGCTGGAGGTTAGTGGGGAGGATGTGGAAGAGGACAATGAAGAACTAACCACTGATGAGCTGCAAGATCATCTTCAACAGCAAGAGGCCAGACCTGAGGAAACTGCTTCGGAGGAGGGGAGAGAGAAATTGAAGAAGTTGCCTACTTCAAAGATTAAGGAAATGTGTGCAAAGTGGCTCAAAGTGCAAACCTTTTTTGATGAAAATCACCCTGACACAGCTACTGCAAGCCGTGTTGGCAACCTGTACAATGACAATGTTGTGAACCACTTTAGAAAAATCATAAAGGAACAGGAGGTACAGGCCTCTATGGACAGATATGTTGTGCAACAGAGGTCCAGTGACTCTTAAGCTGGTCCTAGTGGCATTAAAAGAAGAAGGGAAGAAACCCCAGAAAAGGACTTGATACCTCAAGTCCTAATGGAAGGGGATTCCCCTTCTAAACATCCACACACTCCCCTCCTCCCATCCCATCAGTCATCACCAGATCTTCAATAAAGGTAAGTGTCAGTTTGTGTGTATTAAAATTAATATTTCATGTGGTAAAATTTTTTTTTTTTTCATACTTTGTGGTGTCTTGCACGGATTAATTTGATTTTCATTATTTCTTATGGGGAAAATTAATTCACCATACAATGAGCTCTCAGGAACAGATTAATATCGTAAGGTGGGGGGTCTACTGTATTTTGGAAAAAAAAAAAATTTAAATTAAAGAGGGCAATTTTCTGTGTGTAATAAGACCCCTCAAAAAAAATTTAAGACCAGTACTTACCGAAATACAGTGGACCCCCGCATACCGCACGCATCGCATACCGTACAATCCGCATACCGCTCGCTTTTTTCGCAAAAATTTTGCCTCGCATACCGCCCAAAAACCCGCTCACCACTCTTCGTCTGAGACGCGTCCAATGTGCGGCCTGAACCATGCTCACATGTTCCGCCGGTGGCACTGTTTACCAGCCAGCCTCCGCGGTAACATCCAAGCATACAATCGGAACATTTCGTATTATTACAGTGTTTTTGATTTTTTCTGGAAAATAAGTGACCATGGGCCCCAAGAAAGCTTCTAGTGCCAACCCTACAGCAATAAGGGTGAGAATTACTATAGAGATGAAGAAAAAGTTCATTGATAAGTATGAAAGTGGAGTGCGTGTCTCCGAGCTGACCAGGTTGTATAATAAACCCCAATCAACCATCGCTACTATTGGTGGTACAGCTGCTGCTGCTGTTGTACCACCGTCAGCTGCTGCTGCTGCTGCTGTAGCATCGTCTGTTGCTGCTGTACCACCGTCAGCTGCTGCTGTAGCACCGTTGTTGGTGTGGCTTATTGAGAATACCAAGAAACAATTAACCCCAGAGGATTTGCCACCCAGGATAACCCAAAAAAGTCAGTGTCATCGAAGACTGTCTAACTTACTTCCATTGGGGTCCTTAATCTCGTCTCCCAGGATGCAACCCACACCAATCGACTAACACCCAGGTGAACAGGGAAAAATGCCTGGAACTAGTGCTCATATTGGTGAATTTAAAGCCAGCAAAGGTTGGTTTGAGAGATTTAAGAATCGTAGTGGCATACACAGTGTGATAAGGCCTGTTCTGGAAGAAAATGCCAAACAGGACCTACAGTACTCAGGAGGAAAAGGCACTCCCAGGACACAGTGTCTCATCAATCATTGCTGCATCTTCAATAAAGGTAAGTGTCATTTATTCTTCATTTAGTAGTAGTACATGCACAATATATATTGTGCATGTACTACTCTACTATTGTGCATGTATCCTTCTCTTTGTGTGTAGGAAAATGTATATTTCATGTGGTAAAAATTTTTTTTTCATACTTTTGGGTGTCTTGCACGGATTAATTTGATTTCCATTATTTCTTATGGGGAAAATTCATTCGCATACCGAACATTTCGCATAACAATCAGCCCTCTTGCACGGATTAAAGTCGCTATGCGGGGGTCCACTGTATAAGGCCACGAAGTTGACATGTATTACACGTTCCAGAATTGTTTATTACTTAGGGCATAGGTTATAAGACATTCTGGCAGGATGACACTACCAGTGGTACCAAAATTGAAAGGGTGTTGCACATGGGTTATTATCTAGGTTTTTGATATTTCCTCGACCACTTGTGGCCACATCCACCTCAAAGCCAATTGAACTGGTGCTCCCAGATTTTTTAATACAGTGCACACCGAGTGTTAAGACCCATTCTATGCTGACCAGGCATCTCAGGCCAATCATGCCAAATTTGGACAGTTAATAGGTCTGTTTCAATTATTGGGATACCATGATCAATCATTCCTGGCTATATTTTATTATCTGGGAAATAAATCTTTTATTTTTGTATGATTATGAATTCAGAAAAGAAGTCAAATGTAATATAGGAGAGGCCTGGGGACATGACTAATGAAAAGAGGAAATGTTGTTTTAGTGCTAGGAATGTGTATTTTTTTTTTTTTTGCACTCTTTTTAAACTGGTATTTTTTAATTGTGGAAAATTGACCAAATTACCAACCTTTGTCCACCTTATAGGATAGTTGTATTAGTAAAATGGGCAGTTTCTTGCACTCAGTTGATAGAATGGAAGGCATACTAGAGAAATATCTAAGAATTTGGTGAAATAGAGCAATGGAATTTACTTAAAATAGGACTCAAATCACTTGTTGCATAAATTGTGCCCAGACTGCTAACTTTGTGCCTGTGTATTTCCATAAGTTTTTCCATCAGATTTCAGAGTTTTGGTGTCATTACATTCAGATAAAGATTCATTTATTTCATTTTTTTTTTTTTAAAGCAGACACTAAGAGCAATATTAATTTTGGGGGTTTGGACAGTGAAAGGGTTTAAAAATTACATTAATGATATTCTTATTTTGGCTGTTATTACCTAAATTATTGTTATAATCAAAACTAAGCATTAAACCCACAGTAGTTATCACTTAAAATAATTTCACATGTAACTATTTTCCCATGCATTAGATAACATGATCATTATTTATAATATAAAATGGTAACAGAATTTCTATCCTGTAAATAATGAAAATTTTTTCATTCATGGGGAAAGTGTCAAACCTTTCAAGACTATACAGTGCCTGGGGTAATACAAGGCATTCAGGCTTGGTTCAAGGAAATGGAGCACTAGGTAAAATTCCTTAGATCAAGAGCCCCTCACCAACATCAAGGAGCTGCCCTTGAGGGGTACTAAAGGTATAATTCAGAGGGCTGAGGAGGGGTTATTAAGGTGGCTTGGGCATTTAAGATGGAGCAGGACAGGATTACTAAGGGGCTACATAAATCTAAGGTGGAGGGGTAGGAGTTGTCCCAGGGAGGGAGGGGGGGTTAAAGGAAGTATACAGTGGAACCTCAACTTTAGAGTTTAATTTGTTCCGTGACATAGCTCATAACTCAATTTGCTCATATATCAAATCAATTTTTCTCATTATAATTAACTGAAAAGCTACTAATCCATTCCAGAGGAATTCCTGCTCTTGGGATTATTATTATTATAATCAAAAAGAAGCGCTAAGCCACAAGGGCTATACAGCGCTGCCCTGCTCTTGGGAGGCAGGGCAAAATACTTCAGTATAATGCTAATATCAACTCTAAGGCTTATTTATCTATCAAAGTTGATCTAATATGACATAATAAACATATAAATAACATAGAAACATAATATATACTCTAGAATGAATAAAATATGTCATTATGTGACGAGTGGTGGCAGCCATTCCCGCTCTAACCATATCTTCCCATGCTTTCCCTTCTGAGGTCTTATAAGAGAAAACAGTGTTTGTGAGGCTAACTGCACTATATCACATTTCATAAGGAAAACACTGAAACAATGTATTGATAAATAAGAAATAAACTGGTTTGATAAAGTGTACATATTTACCTTGGAGAACAGATGCTGGCAGAGGTTGAGGGTGGAAAAGATAGGCAAGAGCGGTATATGCTGTCAGTGGCCCTCTAAACCCCAACAACAATATTAAAGGAGTTCGTTTTGTTTTGTGCTTTGTCTGTCTCTTAACTTACTTGCTCTACACTCTGAATGCTACACTTGATTGCTGAACTTAACTGCTACAATTTATTATTTTGTTTTCCACTTCACTTTTCACTGATTTACTTGCTACACTATCACTTGGCTGGAGCTATAGCCTTTATTGACTCCTTCTGCTTTAGTATCGTACATGTTGTAGAAGTACTACACTGGTACTGCATGGCCAAGTCCACAACCTGCACACCTTGCTTGTGTTTATCTATGATTTCATGCTTTAATTCCATAGACATCATCCTCTTTTTCTTCTCAGCACTGTCCTTTGTTCTTACTTTCTTAGGACCCATGGTTAGAAAAAAAAAATTTGGCAAAATAACTGCACAAAACACAGAAATGCTTCCATGGTGAGGTAAATGTGTGTACTGCTGAGCAGTTGTGGCGTTCACTAAGCCAACTAGTGGAGGTGTTCTGAAGCTCGCATCTCAAAAAACTCATACGTTGGGGCACTCGTAAGTAGAGGTTCCACTGTAATTGAGAGCTAGAGGCTTGAGCATCCAGCAAGTTGTGTGAACATGTTACTTCAAAAAGTGGTTTTTCTGACTTGACATCCTGCTATAGTGTGAGCAAGGTAACATTTATGAAAGGATTCAGGGAAACCAGTTAGCTGGACTTGGTAGAAAATACAGTGCCCACACTGGAGGGATGAAGATGTTGCAATTCAGTCATCTGAACTGTGAAGTACACCTGCTTATGGCAAGATAGTGACTGAATGATGGTGAATGTGTTTCCTCTCATTTCTTTTATGTCACCCTACTTCTGTGCAAGATAGCCAGTGTTAAATTTTATATGTATATAGTAGAGCCCCACTTTACGGCATTCCACTAATATGGCGATTTCAAATTATGACCAAAACTCTCTATACGGCTCCCCGTCTTTCAAAAATGGTGCATGCCATTCAGTTTGTTTATTCTCCGTGAGCACCATGTATCTCCATCATGTTTGGAAACTTTCCAAAATTTCAAGTGTTTTAAAGTCATTTCATATTTTATATATAATCTGATAATTATACTTATGTGTACCTGTACCTAAGTAAACTTACACACTGTGCTGGGATGCAGGTACACATTAAGATCACTAAGAGTGTCTTATTAGTCTTGAAGATACTATATTAATAATAAAGATAATAACACATTAATAATCACCCTGAGGCACATTAAATGTTGTATAAAATGTCTATATTGACATTTTGCTTAATTCATCTATATTTTTTCAAAATTATATAATAAACACACTAAGTAACATATAAACATGATAAATATACCCACAGTAGAATAAATTAACATAAATATGAGATGTTTTTCTAGTTAGCTTGCAGGAATGAACTAAAACCATACACATTCGGCTGGTTTGTTTACAAACTCACGTCTGTCCTATCTCATGTACTCATTCTCTCTCTCATTTATTTGTTTAATCTCATTTACTCACCTCTCACCCTACATTAAGACTACAAATATTTTAAAAGTAATGAGTGTACTGTATATGCATTTTATCACTCTAGGGTGCTTGAAATGCCTAGTATATGTGTGAGTGGGGTGGCCAGATGGGGTTACGATACCTACAACACTTCAATACCTACCTACCCTACTATTCACCTTGCACCCTATATTAAGACTACAAATATTTTAGGGTAAGTAATGAGTGTACACTATATGCATTTTATCGCTCTAGGGCTCTTTAAATGTTGAAGTATATTACATGTGGGTGGGGTAGGGTTGGCTGGCTACCAGATCTACCACACCTAACTTCTTACAATAAATACTACTCATTTCTCACCCTACATTAAGACTACAAATATTTTGAGGTAAGTAATGAGTGTACTGTGTGTGTATTTTACTTTTTAATGCCTTGTTCTATTGCTAACTTAATATATGTTAGTGTAATCTTATTATCTGACATTTATAAGTGAAAACAAATGGCGTTCTGCTTTCTGGCGATGTTCACTTTCCAGCAGTAGCCTAAAACCTAACCTGCCGTATAAATGAGGCCCTACTGTATATACATATACACGTTATTGTAACCACGAACGAGTGGTATTTAATCAACAACACTGACTAGCTGAGGACTTGAACCCATGTCGTTTTGGCCCACCTCATGGTGAGTGAATATCACATGACACTAACCCACAGGACCACTCAATCCTACAAGAATCACACCACCGTATGTCCTCGGATCACGGTAAAACATCTAGCTCTGTTGGGTGTGTGATTCTTGTAGGATTGAGTGGTCCTGTGGGTTAGAGCGTCATATGATTTTTTGCTCACCATGAGGCGGGCCAAAACTACACGAGTTTGAGTCCTCGGCTAGTCACAGTGTTACTATATTCAACAAACTGACCATCTCCCACCGAGGCAGGGTGATCCGAAAAAGAAACTTTCATCATCACTCTCACTTTCTTGACAGAGGCACACAAATACGAAAGTTTACATGGAGTGTGAGCAGGGTAATGTTTTGTGAAAGGATTAAGGGAAACCAGCTAGCTGGATTTGAGTCCTGGAGGTGGGAATTTCAATACCTGCACTCTAAAGGAGGGGTTTGGGATATTTGCTGTTTATAGTGACATCTAAACTGTTGTATCTGCATGCCTCTGGCAAGGCAGTGGGAGATGGCCATCATGTTTATAATATATGCAAGTATATGGAATAGGTAGTAAGTTACTAAAATGCTGGAAAGAGTTTTTATAAGGATAGTGAGGCTCAGGTTAGGGTGTTTACCTGGAGAGGGTTCCGGGGGTCAACGCCCCCGCGGCCTGGTCTGTGACCAGGCCTCCTGGTCACGTAGGAGGAAGGAAAGAGGGAGATTACTTCCCGGTAAAAGTAGGGATGTGTAATGTGACCATGGTTATTTAATATATTTATGGATGGGGTTGTAAAAAAGAAGTAAATGCTAGGGTGTTGGAGAGAGGGGTGGGATTAAATTATGGGGAATCAAATACAAAATGGGAGTTGACAGTTACTGTTTGCTGATACTGTGCTTACAAGAGATTCTAAAGAAAAGTTGCAAAGGTTAGTAGATGAGTTTGGGAGGGTGTGTAAAGGTAGAAAGTTGAAAGTGAATATAGCTAAGAGTAAGGTGATGAGTATATCAAATGATTTAGATAAAGGAAAATTGGATATCACATTGGAGAGAGGGAGTATGGAAGAAGTGAATGTTTTCAGATACTTGTCAGCAGATGAGGTTAACCATAGAATTGATGAAGGAAAAAAGGCGAGTGGTGTGTCAAGGTATATGTGGAGACAAAAAATGTTATCCATGGAGGCAAAGAAGGGAATGTACGAAAGTACAGTGGTACCAATACTCTTCTATTGGTGTGAAGCTTGGGTAGCAAGGTGGTGGCTGGAGGCAGTGGAGATGTCCTGTGTGATGTAAATATTATGAAGAGAATTTGGAGTTTGGAAATTAGGTGGTGGTGTGGAGTTACTAAAAGTATTAGAGGGGTTGTTGAGGTGGTTCAGTCATTTGGAGAGAATTTATCAAAGTAGAATGACTTGGAGAGCGTGTAATCTGAAGGGGAAGTCCTCAAGAAGGTTGTAGGGAGGGGTTTTGCAGACAAGGGGCTTGGACTTCCAGCAAGCATGTGTGAATGGTTTTTGGGACCTGACGAGCTGTTAGAAACTGGTTATTTTTATACAGCTGGGCTTGAGTACTGGAAATGGGAAGTACAATGCCTGCACTTTAAAAGAGGGGTATGTTATCTTTATATATGCTTCTAAACTGTTGTATCTGGGCACCTTTGTGAGTGAAGTGAAAGTGTTGAATGATGATGAAAGCTTTTTCTTTTTGGGTCACCCTGCCTCAGTGGGAAATTGCTGACTTGTTGAAAAAAAAAATAATATACTTTTTCAATATATAACAAACACAACGTGCATGTTTTTTGATATATTGATGGTAATACAATACATACATGTGAGATTTTTAGCACTAAATTAGATTGAGCAGAGATGAAGTAAACGTGTCTCTCTTAGCCAGTTACCTCTGACAAAAGCTGTGGAGATAATCTTCAGGGAGGCAATCATCTTTACTTTATATATGGCAGTCTATCAAACAACAGTGCTGGGAATCTATGAAAATACACTGCCATACTAATAATTCTTAACCTGTGACTGATAATCTACTGTAACTACTACTACAAGTCCCATACAGGTATGCTAGTCAGCGAGCCAAAAGATTACCTACCAGGAGAATAATTCACGATATGCAGGTGGAACAATCTGCAACTAACCCACAAACTGGAGATAAAGCAAGACAGTATTTTGGTTCATCCTTAATCCTTATTGAGTTAATAATGGTCCAGGATAAACCGGAATTTTGGGTTATCTCCAATCTGTTGTTGGTTGTGAATTTTTTTTTTTTTAAAGATTGTTACCAGATAATTAGTATGACAAACTACCACATGAAGGCATTAGTTAACCTGACTTTCAGGATGGAAAACTATCTAGAGCACAACAGCACATTGTTAGTGGAAGCCCAGGGAACTCTTCAAACTGCTATGCATGTATGAGGGGAAAATTGGCTTAGAAGGCAAACACATCATGAATGCAGGGTATTTAAATCAGTTGCATGCACATTGTATTATTCCAAACATTAAGTTTTTGCTGAAATATGCACTTCAGAAAATATATTTAGTTTTGTCAAAATATTGACAGTGTACAGTTTAATTAAAAACTTCAATGTTATTGTACTATAATAGCATATCAGTTTATAATCCAGTATTATACAATTGCATACAGTGATATATGTGATTTTAAAGCCCTAATAAAAATTGTCTTGTTAGCAAAGCAGATAATCCATAAAGGCAAAAAGCCCATTGGTATCTCCAAATCATACACATATAGTGTCAACACTTCGATATAAAAAAATAAAGCTGAATTTCTAATCAGCAATCTCTGGTGTAAGTTTGAAGAAATTCTAATTACACACACACTCGTTTATAGTTTGAGCTGTGGCCACAAGAAAAATGGAAGATCACATGAGGACTATGGCAGAGGCACACCCCACAGACTCGTTCCAAAACAAAATTACACGAGTTTGGGGTTTTCATCCTGTGGACTCGTCCACCTGCCACCATCCATGCAAGGTTTGTGGACCCAGATCGGTATATACCAGAAATATCACATAGCAAGGCAGAGTAGTTATATTAGTCTCTTATTAACCACCTGTCTTTCTACTCTACACACTCCTTTGCATCTCCTACATGAATACACCTACCCATGCTTGATACTTTCATCTCAGAGACTAGGAAGCAACAGTAAGCAGTAGCTTCAGCCATATTTGATGAGAGATTTTTATATACAAAGCAATGCTTTGTATTGGAAATACATTGTTGTATTTTTATATAGTAATAAAAGTGAAGAGTATTTTGAACATAAACTAAAACAAGAGATTCATAGCTCTCAATAAATATAGATGAAAATTTCTGCTGGGAAACAGTGAGTTTACAGAGATCATGGTACAGTCTGTATCTGTGTATATATATATATATATATAAACAAGCCACATGGGAATGAAACTCTTTAGCTCATGATCTTTCAGACTCTTGTGCATCATCAGGAGCTATGCAATGTTCCAAGCCTAGCAACAGATAGTGGGGAGAAAATTCTGTGAAATGGCCTGACACTACACTTTTGCCTTGCCTCAGAGAATTTTCCCCCTACTATCTGTTGTTAGTCTTGGAACATTACATAGCTCCTGACAATGTATGAGAGTGCAAAATATCTTGAGCTTAAGATTTCCATTACCAAGTGGATTGTTCTGCATTGTTAAGAGTGCCTGTTTTGCATATATATACACACACTCAATAGCCACTTTATTAGGTACACCTGCTTGTTAATGCAAATATCTAATTGGCCAATCATGTGGCAGCACCTTTTAGCTTAAAAATGAGAGGGGTCAGAGGAGAATGGCCAGGGACACGAGAGTAACTCATTTGATTACAAGTTACAACAGTGGTATGCACACCTCGAAACTTCAAGTGGACGTGCTACAGTAGACCACACCAGGTTCCACTCCTGTCAGCTAAGAACAGGGAACTGAGGCTACAGTGAGCACAGCCTCACCAAAACTGGACAGTTGAAGATTGGAAAAACATCACCTGGTCTAATAACCTGCAATTTTTGCTGTGGCATGCAGATGGATGGGTCAGAATTTTGCATAAACCTTTGGGATTTGGAGCACGAATGTACACCTGATAAATCTGTAGCAACAGCATGATACTGTCATGTCAACATGAACCAGAATATCTCTAGTAATATTTCCAGCACCCTGTTGAATCCATTCCATGAATAATTCAGGCTGTTCTAGTTACTAATAAAGTGGCTACTGTGTGTGTATATATATAATGTATACATGCAGACATAAGATTTACTGTATCCAGCAAATAGAGACAATTACATTATTTTTATCCACTGCAATATGGCTCTTCCTTTAGTTTAGCTTATCAAAAATTCCAAAGCTTATTTTCTTGCAGAAATGCCTTTGATACAAAAAAGTTTGATATTTCAGCATATGCAGTAAAAACTCTCCCTTTCTCACCTACATTTATTTTCTCAACCATGAGTTTATCAAGCCCTAGTCATTAGCAGGAAAAAAAATCTAAGTACAGTCTGTACATACGAGAAATTTTTGTTTTGTAATTTACTCACATTGGAATTCTCAATTGTGTTTAGCTCTATGGCCATTCATGTAGTCCTTCCAGCGCTGGGCAGTGGAAGATATTACAGGATCTGTATCAATGGATGCCAGCAAAAGCAGCTGGGTGATGTGGGTTGTATGGTAGTCCCAGCGCGCTCTGTTGGGCGCTACATGAGTTGTGAAATGACGCAAATCATACAAGGATCCCCAGCCTGTATCATAGAGGGGTAGCAACTTTTTTAGAGATTTCATGCCATCTTCAAACAAATCCCGGCTTTTATTACTGGAGTCTCTTCTGAAAGAGGAATAGAACTATAATACTGTTGTAAAGGGCACAAAGAATCAGTGCAGAAAGCATAACATCAGTTTATTCTGATATTAAAGCACTTCATTATCTTGACTTTAATTCACCTGTTAATTCTCTCATTCTTTAACTACAAGTATTTTCAGAGACATGAAGCGGATTAATCCTATCTTATTATTAAGCAAATACAGTGGACTCCCGCTTAACGATCACCTCCCAATGCAACCAATTATGTAAGTGCGTTTGTACATGTATGTTTGGGGGTCTAAAATGGACTAATCTACTTCACAATATTCCTTATGGGAACAAATTCAGTCAGTACTGGCACCTGAACATACTTCTGGAATGAAAAAATATCGTTAACCGGGGGTCCACTGTATTATGCACTTTAACTGCAATACTACATGAGCAAAGTTTTTTTCTTTCATAGGATGATTATAAGTAAATACTTTACTGGATGTCTGTTCATACCAACTCTTAAGATTTTAAATTATGCTAAAAAAAAAGCAAGTAATTTGTCCAAATAATTTTGTCAAATTTTGGGCAACCTCATTACTTGACTAGTATATCACCAGCAGCTTACTCCAGGACATGTCTGAATGATTGATTCCCTGATCTGCTTTATAATTTTATATCACAGAAAGTTTTCTAAATTCTTAACTCAATAAAATAATATTTGCCAGAAAAGAAAGGCATAACCAATATATTTCATTGCAGTAAACTAAAGCACGTGCATAATTTCAGATGCCCTGCCCATGCTGTTTTTGTTTGCAAAAGAGCTTACATCATATAACTGGAATTTTACTGATCATGTGTATTTTCCTAAGTTAATATTTACTATGACAATTTAAACCTTCATAAATATCCATAACCAGCTAATATTTTTGAATACTTTTCCGTAGCTTGATAGTGCACTTAGCTCAGTGTCCATGGTTCAGTCCCCAGTATAAATGGATGGAAACAGTGGACATGTTTCCTCACATCTGCTGTCACTGTTCACTTAGCAATAAATAGGTACCTGGATGTTAGTCAGCTGTTGTGGGTGGTATAACATCCCAGGGTGTGGTAGTATACCTTAGGGCTAGAGTTTTAAATGAGTTCATGTAGGTCATAGCTGTTAGCCTGTACAATTGATGTTAAAAAAAAAATACTGACCTTTCCACACCTTTCAGTTGCATGAATGAAATTTAATTACATTGACTGGACATCGCTCTGCTTAATTGTGAAATGTATGGAAAAATGATTATGTTGGCATCTTTCTTACCACTCGTCTTGCTTATAACCCCCCCCCCCCAGTTTAAAAATTAGAAAGTACGAATAATACAGTGTGACACATATCTGCTAATCGTTCCAGGGATCATCAGTTAATGATGAACATACTTACGAAAATTCTTTTAAATCGTAAAGCCCCAAGAGACTATAGATGAATCCATTGAGCACAAATAGTGAAGGGTTTGTTGGGTACTCTTCATACCATACATAGCCTCCAGGGAAGTAAGTTCGCACACCACCTGTTATTGGATATAAGAAATCTTCAAGCAATGGTTTTCATTCAAGGATATATAGTATAATTTACTAAAAAAACATATACTGTACTATACCACTTCCAGTGATTTAATTATAATCATAACTAAGTGCTAAACTCACAAGGATCATACAGCGATGCTCCAGTGATTTAAAATATAAACAGACTAGTGTTACTTCTGTCCATACATACTGACTTCATTAAATCTGCTATACTGTATTTGTATTATGGTGAAAACTTTAACATACCATAGTGCTGTTTTAATGTAGTCTACCAGGCTAATGATTTAGTTTTTATGTATGACAGCTTAGCTTTTTAATATACAGTAAAAACCTTCGTATCCACAGGTTACTGTGGCCCAAAAATACCTCTTAATTTTGCATATTATGCCCCAAAGCACAAAACTAGAGAAGCTGGCAGTTCTTCAAAACTGTGAAGTTGTTCCCATCAGTGAAAAAGTGATAATTCTCTACTTACTGTGCATAATTCATTTAAACTTTATAATGGTATTTATAGGACTTATATATAGGGTTTGCTACTATCCACAGTTTTGGTATCCATGGCAGGTCCTTGGAACACATCCCCCGCAGATACGAGGGTCCTATCGTATTAAAAAAAATTAAATATAACCCAAATTTATTACAAGAGTTTTGTGAATATAGCACTGTAAATATTGTAATGCTGATTCAGGCATACCTCTATATAAATTATTCCATGGAACTAATAGATGGAAAACTTTGTCCCACATTTATTGCTATTACCTAGTTTGGTGCTTAATTTGATTATATTACAGTATTATTATCCCATTACCCTCTTAGCTGATGCTATATTGTGGTCCAAAGTTCATGGCATAAATATCAAATCCATTGTTCTTAACCAAGCTCTACCAAATAAGTCTGAGCTCTGTACATGTATAAACACACGGTATGAATGCATTTGGTAAAAACTGAAAAATCATTATAAATTAGCCTAAAAAAAAAAAAATCGTAATGGTCTAGTGGACTGAGACCATTGTGTCGAGTTCTTTCTTGGTTAGGTTTACTAAACTTGTTGGCAGCTTTGCCTCAAACTTTCAGCATACTAATCTAATTTATAAACAACGTGTGTTACACGTATGGAAAGCTGTTGAGCTTAATAAATGAATGTGGAGTAATCTTATTTTTTTGAAACATTAGTGCTCACCCTAAGAGTAAAACAATCCTTATATTAAATACTGTTTCCTTCCATAATTTTAGCTTCAGCTCCCACCTCTGCACATATGTTAAGGTATGCCTGTAATGTTAGTGTTTTAATCTGCAAAAAATTATTTTGATCTATAATAACAATCCTGAAGATGCTAATGTCAGTATATGCATTCAATATAATCACTACAATTGGGTCACTTAGTTTAAAGTACAAAAATAGAAAAACATTTTACCACGTGTTGCATTGACAGAAAATAGCGCAGTGGCTCGTACTGCAGCCTTTAGGTATTGAGAGTCGCCAGAATGATGTGCAGCTCGAACAAGGAGGGACATAGCTTGGCCCTGAGCCATGGCTGAGTACCAGCCAGCACCAAGCTCTAGCACCCCACTGATCACCTGCAGCAATACACAGTTTTCATGTAATGAGGTCATTTGAATTCAGATAAGTAAGTTTGGACATCTAACAGGATTGTGTGAGCATGTTAGATAGTAGAGGCAGGCAGTTATATGATGTGCTGTTAAATATAAGCAAGGTAGCATTTATGAAGGGATTCACAGAAACCAATTAGCTGGAGGTGGGAAAACAGTCTCTGATTTCTGAAGAAGGGGGTGATGAGAAGTTGCAGTTGGAGGATAATCTTAATTGTGAGGTTGGCAAGACAGTGACTGAATGAGTAACAGTGAAAGTGTTTTCTTCTTTGTCAGGTCATCCTACCACAGTGAGAGATGGCCTGAGTGTTAAAAATAAAAACTTTTGAACTAATTACACTTTAATTTGTATAGAATTTATTGTTCATTTCTTATGTGTGTTTACCAAAAATACTGAATAAACTACTTTTTTCACAATTATTGTACTATATTACTCATACATTCCACTCATATTACTGTCATGCCACTAATATGACCACTCTTCTTCAGGACATTTTCCAATTTGAATTTAGCTGATGTTCTCAGGGTGTTTGATTTGTTACATTCTAGCAAGCAAGATTTTTTCCCCTTGACAACACTACTGAAAAAATGGATGTTCTTTGAGATCACCCAAAATAAGAGTCAACATTCAGTAACAAGACTGGGCTCCTAACAATTAAAATCATATACTACTTAAAAAATAATTCCAAGTAATTTGTGTTAATTTTGGGTAGTTGTCACTAAATATTGACCCACAGCTGGTCATTTTATGATACCTATGTACCTGGGTTAACTCACTGCTTTTATGTCAATTCAAATATCATACACTCAAGGCACAGTTATTCTCTGGTGTGGCTTACCTTGCGTGGAACAGGGATAGACCAACCTCCCTGCTCATCCTGATGCTTTAGTAGCCAGTTGGCAGCATCATAAAAGTGATGTAAGTGCTCTGCAGAAGCTAAAGTAATGTTGGCTATGCTTCCTTCTCCATGCACTGAGAGGGACACAATATTCAGCTTAGATCTTGATACCTGAAGAAAAGTTAACAATTTGTTATAATAACCACCCAAGTACAGTGATCCCTCTTTTGATGACCATCCACATAATGTAATCTAGAGTAACATAAAAATATAGGATGACATTCCCCTCCTCCCTTAGCGGCCAGTTCTCACATATTTAGCAAACAAAGTCTAGGCTGTGGGACTTTACATGACCCTTGTAGGTTTAGCACTTCTTTCTGATTATAATAATAAAGTAGAACTTTACCCCAATAAACAATCACTTCCACTTGTACAACAACCAGATAATGCTCATCTTTCTTCTTTCTTTCAACACACCGGCCGTATCCCACCGAGGTGGGGTGGCCCAAAAGGAAAAACTAAAGTTTCTCCTTTTACATTTAGTAATATATACAGGAGAAGGGGTTACTAGCCCCTTGCTCCTGGCATTTTAGTCGCCTCTTACAACACACATGGCTTACAGAGGAAGAATTCTGTTCCACTTCCCCATGGAGGTAAGAGGAAATAAACAAGAACAAGAACTATTAAGAAAATAGAAGAAAACCAGAGGGGTGTGTATATATATGCTTGTACATGTAAGTGTAGTGTGACCTAAGTGTAAGTAGAAGTAGCAAGACGTACCTGAAACCTTGCATGTTTACGAGACAGAAAAATGGACACCAGCAATCCTACCATTATGTAAAACAAGTACAGGCTTTCGTTTTACACTCACTTGGCAGGACGGTAGTACCTCCCTGGGCGGCTGCTGTCTACCAACCTACTCCCTAGAATAATGTTCATAAATACATATATTGTTTATCGTCTCACAGTTTTCCCACGGATGGGACTAAATCAGCTGTTATCTACCTCTGCATCATCAGTTAAATTGTGAGGAATACAAGAATAATGTTTATATACAGTAGACCCTCAGTTATTTTTCTGGAAATTGGCACTTTATTGAAATCAGCATTATTCAAACTGAAGAACATATGGAATAATAGGGTTACATTCCCTAGAGCTCCAAAAAGGGCAAATCAATTTTCATATAGGTTAGAAAGTAAAAAGAAACAATTTAATCTGAACTTAAATTCTGACTGCTGTTGCTTGCTGATATGTAAATGTGTGAAGAGGGTTAGTGTGGCCCTGTATAAACTACCACTATAACTGACCAACATCCACTATGATTTTTTTTTTTAAACTGACTTATTATGCCAACTTTGACTTTCTTTGTTAGTTCATGAGTTCATTTCTCACACTTATATGTTTAATACACTGGTCATTTCTTATCAACATACTGACCCATTCAATAGCTGTTTTGCTAGATGTGAACAGACAAATTCAAATGACCCTTCTTTTTTTGTTTAATTTCTTTGGAGCCCACAATATGAAGGACCTGTCTGTACATTTATGCAACTGTACCTATGTTAAAGTGAGTCTGAATCTATATCATATTTTCCATTATGAGAATGTCGTGAAACCTTCACCACATGATTGCCTCCCATTCCCCAGGCACTTTACAGTTGTAGTGCTTCTCCCATGATTAAATAAATAAACAAGACTCTTCAGAGAGGACTCAAGACACCTTCAAAGAAGTGATTGGTCTGAAAATATTGATATAAACTAATCACATGTACAGTGGTACCTCGGGATACGAACAGCTCAAAACGCGAACAATTATGTAAGTGTATTTATGTAAGTGCTTTTGTAAGTATTTTTGGAGATCTGAAATGAATTAATCTAATTTACATTATACCTTATGGGAACAAATTCGTTCAGTATCAGCACTCGAACAGCCTTCTGGAACAAATTAAGTTCATATCTCGACGTACCACTGTGTATGTTTTGAAAACTTTAAAAACAAAAACAAAAATGGCCAAAAAACACTTGTGGTATGCAACTGCAGGTGTGTGAGATGCAACTATGTTACCAAATAAGGGTCACTTCAAGAAACTTTAAACAACTATTTACTGGTAAGTTTTAAAACACACATAAAATCAAGACTAATTTTTTTATATAAAAAAAATTATTTTGGCACTACAATTTTGTTTTACTCCATTGACAGTTTAAGGGTTAATTAAAGATGGTTCTAGAGACTTTTCATAGAAGGCTAAAGCCAATTTCTACACATCTGTACCATTATGACAAACTTAACAACCAGAACAAAAGAAAAATTAAATTTTATTATTATAAATATACGTATTTTATAAATTCAGTACAACATTCACAGATAGACTGTGGAGTCCACCTTCAGGATCCTGATGGTCCTCTGGTTGAACCCATTTACTAGGTAGTAGGCTGGTAAGCAACCACCCAGGGAGGTACTACCGTCCTGCCAAGTGAGTGTAAAACGGAACCCTGTAATTGTTTTACATGATGGTAGGATTGCTGGTGTCTTTTTTCTGTCTCATAAACACGCAAGATTTCAGGTACGTCTTGCTACTTCTACTTACACTTAGGTCACACTACACATACATGTACAAGTGTATATATACACACTCCTCTGGGTTTTCTTCTATTTTCTCACTAGTTCTTGTTCTGATTTATTCCCTCTTATCTCCATGGGGAAGTGAAACAGAATTCTTACTCCGTAAGTCATTCATGTCATAAGAGGCGACTAACATGCTGAGGGCAAGGGGCTAGTAACCCCGTCTCCTGTATACATTACTAAAGCTAAAAAGAAACTTTTGTTTTTCTTTTTGGGCCACCCTGCTTCGGTGGGATATGGTCGGTTTGTTGAAGAAACATTCATAACACCAGAAAATTTAAATTTACTCTGTATATTGTGCAAGACAGGTATACAATACCGACAAGATGAAAGTTAAGACACTTGTGCAACACCGTGGTTGTAGAGATTCTGAATCTCTACAACCACGGTGCTCTAAACACCACCTCCAAGGCTGAGGGACTGATTACCTCATCTTTTGTACATAGTTCTTCTGATTTCTTATTATGTCCAAGAATCGGTATTGATAAAGCCACTGGATGGCGAAACGTCTACAATAAAGATAACCAGATGTTGCACAAGTGTCTTAACTTTCACTCTGTATATTAAATTTACTCTGTATATTAGAAAGCATATTTCTGTTCTATTTACTCCATGTAAAAATGCAAGTACAGTGGAACCTCAAATATCGAACTTAATCCGTTCCAGGAGTTAGTTCTAAATTCGAAAAGTCTGAAAAGCGAAGCAATATTTTCCATAAGAAATAATGGAAATAAAATTAATCTGTTCCAGAAACCCAAAAATATTCACACAAAAAAAATACATTTTATAGAGATTAATTATAGTTTTACATACACACAACAAATATAGTGTTCAATTATGTACAGTATTAATAAATTTCATTAAACATATAAAATAACATTTTACTTATCTTTATTGAAGATTGGTGATGGCATCTGGAAGATAGGGAGGAGGAGAGAGGGAGTTGGAGTTACTGTTTGGAAGGAGAATCCCCCTCCATGAGGACTTCAGGTATCAAAGACCTCTCTGGGGTTACTTCCCTTCTGTCTTTTAATGCCACTAGGACCAGCTTGAGAGTCACTGGACCCCTGTCTCACAAAATAACTGTCCACAGTCCTCTGTTTATGGTGCCTCTAAGATTTCCCTAAAATGGGACATGGTTCTGTCACTGAATTTGTTGCAAAGATGGCTTGTTTCAGATTGCTCAGGGTGGTACTTCTCCACAAACATTTGGACATCATTCCACTTGGACATCATTCCACTTCTGTATTATTTCCTTCTTCACATCTATGGTGTTTCTAACTTTCTTTACCACAGGGGCACCACTAGCAAGTTTCTTTGGGCCCATTGTAGCTTATTTCACAGTCCCACAAGCACTAAACACAATGAAATAATCGTAAAATGCTTGAATGAGGGCGCAGGCTAGTGTTCACTCAAGCATCAACAAAACCAGAATGGTTCACGGCGCCTGCGTGGGGACGCAGACTGAGCGAGCTGCAAGACAGGTCTGGTACCCGGTGGTTCGAATATAAGGGCGAGTTCGATAATAGGGACAAAGTTGGTTCGAGAAAAGGGTTCTATTTTCGAAGAGTTCGATAAGCAATACGTTCAAAATTTGAGGTTCCACTGTAAAAAGGGATAATTATCTTACATCACAAACAAAAATAGCATGACTAATAATAAAACTTAAAATGTCTCACCTTCTTAAATTTTTTACGCAGAAATGGAGAGGAACTTGCCCCTTTATGTACATCAATAAGCAAATTTCTAGTGATGCGCCGCCATCCAAGATGCTCCCCAAGGCCATAGTATATATGGCGATCCTTGCCAATTGAAAATAAAAATAGATTAAGGGGAACTAGATAAGAAAATAAAAGGTTGAATTTTCTGCATCAAAAAGAAATTATTCATGGTACCTTAAAAATTTTATACTAAGTTAACTTTTGGGAATTATTCAAGTATTATTAATTTAGTAATTTATACAGTACATGAACCCCAAAATTAAAAGTAATTGGTGTCCACATTTTAAAAATTTTTTATGGTTTTATTGGCAGTTTTTTGGTATCATTTGATAGAATGGAAGACATACTACTGAAACAGAATTTGGTCGAATGAAGCAGTGCAATTAGCTTAACCTTTAGGAGGTCTGTGGCATAGTACTACAGCTTTGAGCTCAGGGTCCATATTGTAGAATTACTTGAGCTCAGCTCAAGTAATTCTAGATCAAAATTTACAGCTGTGAGCGGTAAATTTTGATCTAGATATGAGACAATGGGTCTATGTGGTGAATATGCAGCATATAAAAAAAATTTTCCTCACACAGTGCATGAAATAGCACATGGCTTGAAACAGCAATTTTGTAGTGTATTTTCTGATGGTTTTATTCTCAGTTTCTTGGTATCATTTCATAGAATGGAAGATATATTACAGAAATGATGATTTTGGTTGGTTTCAGGACTGGAAGTAACTTGAAATTGAGCTCAAAGTATTGGAAATATTCGATATTCTATAGGACACAAATCACATCACTCGTCCAATATGCATCCAACTGGTCAGTCTATAATACACATTCATGAATGAGCTGACGTTATTTATACAATTATTACAATAATGCGGTAGTCTGCATAACAGTAAATCTTCTATTTGTGTTAATAAAAATTTCAAAACGGAAAGCAAGTGTAATAAGGGAGAGGCCTGGAGACATAACTAATGAACAGAAGAGATGTTGTTTTAGTGCTAGGAATTGGCAATTATTGAGTTTTGTGTGAAACTGGCCAAATTACCAATTTCTGATCACTTTATTGGGTAGTTGAAATAGTTAAATGGATAGTTTCTTGTTCTCAATCTACAGAATGGAAGGCATACTAGCAAAATAGCTAAGTGTTTGGTCAATTGGAACAATGGAATTGGTCTAAAATTAGACTCAAAGTGGGCAAAATCACCAGTGCATAAATATCGCTGAGATCAATAACTCTGCAAAAGTGTAATTCTGTAAGTTTTCTATCATATTTCATACTTCTGGCATCATTACCTTCAGAAAAAGATTCTCTGTCATTTCATAAGAATTTTTTTTTTTTTCCTGAAAATTTTTGAACCCTGAGAATAAATTTCAGATCAAGGGTCTGGACCCTGAAAGGGTTAAAATGGAATTCAAAGTGGGTGAAATTGCATCAAGACTGCTAACTTTGCACTTGCATAATTTTGTAAGTTTTTCACCAAATTTCGTACTTTTGGTGCCATTACCTTCAAAAATAAGATTCTCCATTTGAGAAGAATTTTTTTTTTTTTTTTTTAAAGTGGACAGTGAAGGGGTTAATACTTATTTTATTACAATTTATTTATAGTTCTTTTAACATTTGTTCATAATATATGCCTTCTAAGATACACATATAATCACTCATTAGTGTATTTATTACATATAAGGACAAAAATGTAATGTCTATTCTACTTGTTCTATGATGATTAGATAGTATCAGACATTATGAAAATGGCTTACATACCTTCACTTGAAGTAATTTGTCGGAACGAATGTAATGAATCATCACAGACTCCATCTTCTTATCCTTAAATTCAGCAGAAACAGAAAAACTGCCATTCCCTTGTAGTAGAAGACTGAGACTCAACACCAACATATTTTGTGTGTGACCTTGAGGTAAGTGTAGTGTAGCACTACCCTTGGATGATATCTCTGTTCAAAGAAATATCCACACTATGTAGACTCATTTGCGGAGCCTGCTAATTTATTCATAAGAAATAAAGAAACAGTATTGAAAATATGACTATTTACAATGGGTAAGCCTGCAAATAAAACTAAACAAACTTGGATATATGAAGTGCTCTACAGTATTACCAAAGGTAAAAGACACTGTATAGTGTATAAGAATCACTGAAGTGCCATACAGTTTGTTGTAAATTATGAGTATCAGCATTTACCATATGCAGTAGGGCCCCACTTATATGGCAGGTTAGGTTCCAGGCTACCGCCATAAAGCGGAAATTGCCGTAAAGTGGAACGCCCTTTTTTTCCACTTATAACTGCATACAAATACTAGCTAACAAGTTTACACCAACATATATTAAGTTAGCAATAGAACTAGACATTAAAAAACAATAAAAAAGTAAAATACACAAATAATACACTCATTACTTACCTTAAAATCAAGTGTGGTATGTATGGTAGCCAGCCAGGCTACTATACCTACCATACCAGGCCACCCCACACACACATAATATTCTATGACATTTAAAGTGTCCCAGAGTTTTGTAAACAAACCAGGCATACGCGTCTAGTTTGTGTACAAGTTGTCTCCACGTTGATACAGTAGAATAAATAAAGAGCAACAATCCCATTCTCATGTAACACCATTTTTAGATGAAATGATGCTCTGAGTGAAGGGATACGCAAGGAATAATTTTCTAGTTACCCCCAGTAATGTTATAGTATACACATTTTCTCTGATGTCGGACTAGAGAAAATGTCATTCTTGCCGTCACTTGTACAAGTTGTCTAGCTACCATATCTCATTTTATATTAATTTATTCTACTGTAGGGTGTATTTATCACGTTTATATGTTACGTATCGTGTTTATTACATAATTTTGAAATATATCATAGATGGATTGATGAAAATGTGTATATTAACCCTTTGACTGTTTTGGTCGTATATATACGTCTTACGAGCCACCGTTTTTGACATATATATACTCATAAAATCTAGCGACTTCAAATCAAGCAGGAGAAAGCTGGTAGGCCCACATGTGAGAGAATGGGTCTGTGTGGTCAGTGTGCACCATATAAAACAAATCCTGCAGCACGCAGTGCATTATGAGGAAAAAAAAACTCCGACCGTTTTTTTTTTTTTAATTAAAATGCCGACTTTGTGGTGTATTTTCTTATAGTATTTATGGTTGTATTCTCGTTTTCTTGGTCTCATTTGATAGAATGGAAAACATATTATATAAATAGAGGTGATTTTGATTGGTTTTACTATGAAAAGAACCATGAAATGGAGCTCAAATTAGGAGAAATGTTTGATTTTTGCCACTGTTCAAAAGTAAACAAATGATGTCATTTTCCAATAAATGTCCAAGTAGCCATTCTAATATGCAGTCACGAATGGGTTGACATTATTTATACAATTATTACAACATTGCAGTAGTTTACGTAACAGTAAATCTTCTATTTTTTGTTTGAATAAAAATTCAAAATAGAAAGCAAGAGTAATATCAGAGGGACCTGGAGACGTGACTGCTGAACAAAGAAAATGCTATTTTAGAGCCAGGAATGTCTGCATTGTTCCTTCTGGACCCTATTTTGAAATTGTCATATTTTTTAATTTTCGTGAAATTGGCCAAATTGCAAATTTCTGACCACGTTATTGGGTAGTTGAAATCAGTAAATGGACAGTTTCTTGTACTCAATTGATAGAACAAATGGAGTTCTAAAGAAATAGCTATGAGTTTGGTCGACTGGAACAATGGAATTAGCCGAAAATGGGCTCAAAGTGGGCGAAATTGCCGAATTGTAAATATCGCCGAGGCCACTAACTTCACAAGAGCGTAATTCCATAAGTTTTCCATCAAATTTCGTTCTTTTGGTGTCACTACAATTGGGAAAAGATTATCACTTCATAAGAAAAAATAATGGGGGGGGGGGATTTGCAACACCAGGAGACACCTCAGGATTTGGGGTTGCGACAATCAAAGGGTTAACATAATGTACGACATTAATGAGATTCATTGATTATTATTGAGTATTATTATTATTAACCCCTTGGCTGCCAAAACCCCAGATCCTGAGGTGTCTCCTGGTGTCGAGAAATTTTCGAAAAAAACAAAAATAAATTCTCATGAAATGATAAAGAATCTTTTCCTGATGGTAATGACACCAAAAGAACGAAATTTGATGGAAAACTTATGGAATTATGCTTTCGCGAAGTTAGCGACCTCGGTGATATTTACGAATCAGCAATTTTGCCCACTTTGAGCCCTATTTTCAGCTAATTTCATTGTTCCAGTCGACCAAACTCATAGCTATTTCTTTTGAACTCCATTTGTTCTATCAATTGAGTACAAGAAACTGCCCATTTACTGATTTCAACTACCCAATAACACGATCAGAAATTGGCAATTTGGCCAATTTCACAAAAATTAAAAAATATGACAATTTCAAAATAGTGTCCAGAAAGAACAATGCAGACATTCCTGGCTCTAAAATAGCATTTTCTCTGCTCATGGAGTTGTGCATATAAACATGTGCTAATTAAATTCTTAATCCAGAAAAGTTAATCCATGTAACATGTTTCAGAATCAATATTGAAACAGGCTGGAAAACATATAAAAACATCAAGAATGACTGTCATTATTCTTTTGAATTTTTAAACTAAATATGGCACTGCACTAGTGATACCTAGAGAGAGCAAACAACTACAGTGGAACCTCAAATATCGAACTTTCTTCAGTCCAGAAGGCTGTCCAAGTGCCGTTACCGAATTAATTTATTCCCATCAGGAATAATGTAAATTAGATTAGTCCATTTCAAACCCTCAAAAATACACTTATAAAAGCACTTACAAAAATACACTTACATAATTGGTTGAGTTGGGAGCAGTTCGATTTTTGAAGTTCCACTGTATTATTGGGAATGTGAAATTTTGCACAGTGCCTCTTATTTTTTATGATTCAAGGTTTAATTATATTATAGATCTCAAAAACAGAATCATGAAAAAAATGGGACATCACCTATGATAATTTAGCAAAAAAGCTAAAACAAAATTCAAAATTGTAAATCCGTTTCAATTTTATTTTTACAAAATATAAAAACACTGAATTCATTTAAATATAAGAAAACCTTATAGTGGAAAATTCCTGAGTATATATATTCTTACCTGGCACCTTAAACTTGAGGATATTAGTATGTGTTGACTGATCAAGAACTCTGAACACTTTGGTGCTTGGTCCCTCCAGCTGCCATACTCCCTTATGCTCACCACCATCTTCTAACATTATCCTGAAATGGATAAACTGCGTGCAACTTATAAGAAAATATAAAGATGCAAGTATTTAAAACACACAAATACTGTATTAGGTAGACAAACCGAAATGCACTTCAAGTCATAATACACTTGAACAGGGTCAGAGACAAACTGACAGTTGTTGCAGATGTTATAACTGTTGTAATTACATGATAGTTGTGTATTAATATGCAATATACATTAAATTTAAAGATCAAGGTCATAACCACATCTGACACTGGGAGACAATTAGCAGTGCTTACATAATTGATGCAAATGCTCATCAACTGACAACGTAAACGTAAGTTAAATTAATTTCTCTTGATTTTTTAGTTCCTATTGCATCTAAATTTAAATATGCAACTCATTATTTTATAATAGGACTATTAGGCATGAAATGAATACTGTACACTGTTGTTCAAGCACCTGGGTGAAGGTAGAACATGGGATTCTACAACTTATGGACATGTTACATTCATAGTGCTTCAATTTCACAATAAGTCATTTGTAACCTAGAGCCTCTCACAACTACTGGACCACTATGACATGGTGTTGAATGCACTGGAGGACAAACAAAATGCAGATGTATACACAGACTTTGTGAAAACCTTAGACAGATGAGATCATAGTGTAATAGCACACAAAATGTGTCATAAAGGAATAAAAGGAAAAGTGGGTAGATGGATCTATAATTTCATATAGAACACAAAGAGTATTAGTAAACAGAGTTAAGTCTGAGGCAGCTACAGTGAAAAGCTCAGTTCCACAAGGTACAGTACTCGTTCCCATCCTGTTCCTCACCCTCATATCTGACACAGAGAGATGCAAGCCACAGCACTGTGTCCTCCTTTGCTGATGATATCAGAATTTGCATGACAGTGTCATCCACTGAGGACACTGCAAATCTCCAAGTGGACATTAACCAGTCTTTAAATGTTCCTCAGAAAACAATACGAAGTTCAATGAAGACAAATTTCAATTACTCCGCTTCGGAAAACCTCAAGGAAATAAAAACTGAATCAGAGTATAAGACAAATGCCACCCACACAATATAGTAAAAAACTAGTGTGAAGGATCTGGGAGTGATAATGTCAGAGAATCTCACTTTCAAAGATCACAACAATGTCTACCACATCTGCTAAGAAAATGATAGGATAGATAATGAGAACCTTCAAAACTAGGGATACCAAGTTAATAATGACTCTCTTCAAATCACTTAATTTTCCTTAGGCTGTACACTAATGGCCCCTTTCAAGGCAGGCAAAATTGCAGACCTGTAGAACATACAGAGAACTTTCAATGCATCTATAAATACAATAAAGCATCCAGATTACTTGGAATGGTTGAAGTCCCTTGACCTGTACAGTGGAACTTCAGTTTTTGTTTGCCCTGGTTTTCATCTAATTTGGTTTTTGATGACTTTTTTCATCAAAATTTTGTCAGTTTTCATTCATCACCTCGGTTTTCGTCGGTCCACCATACCGAACGTGTCCGCCTGCCCGCGCCCACAGAACGCATCCCACACATTCTGAGTCAGTCTGGCTTTGTTTCTCGTCGAGTGAGCATTACCTTGCATGTTCATCTGAAACATTTTGTAATAATCCATTGTTTTTTGTGCTTGTTTATCGAGTTCAACTGCTAAATAAGCCACCATGGGGCCAAAGAAAGTTCTGAGTGCCAGCCCTTTGATAAAGAAGGCGAGAAACACGATAGAATTCAAAAAAGAACTCGTAGCAAAGTATGAAAGTGACATATGCGTGATCGATCTTGCCAGGATGTACGGGAAGTCCTCATCAACAATCAGTTCCATCCTGGCAAAGAAAAAAGAAATCAAGGACTCTGATGTTGCAAAAGGAGTAAATGTGCTAACAAAACATAGATTGCAAACCATCAAAGATGTTGAGAAGTTGCTGTTGGTGTGGATCAACGAAAAACAGTTAACAGGAGATAGTGTTGTGGAGGCGATAATTTACAAAAAGGCACGGCAGTTACATGCGGATCTCATAAAGAAAATGCCTGGGATGAGTGCTGCTGTTAGTGAATTTTAGGCCAGTAGAGGCTGGTTCAACAAATTCAAGAAGTGATCTGGCATACACACTGTGTTAAGGCATGGCGAGGCTGCAAGTTCGGAAGAATGTACGGCCGAAGAATTCGTTGATGAATTCAAGGAGTACGTAGAGGCTGATGGAGGGGGATTCCCCTTCCCACCAATAACCTCCCCTTCTCGCGTCTTCCATACGCCAACAAGTCTCTTCAATAAAGGTAAAAGTGATATTAAATGTTCATTTATCCATCTCATTAGTCCTTTATATTTATTTCTCATTGTTTTCTGTATGTAAAACTATAGTTATTCTCTATAAAATGTATTTTTTGTTAATATTTTTGCGTGTCTGGAACGGATTAAATTGATTTATGTTATTTCTTATGGGAAATATTGCTTCAGTTTTCATCGAATTCGGTTTTCGTCAGACTTTCTGGAATGAATTAATGACAAAAACTGAGGTTCCACTGCACTTCTTGGAATGCAGATGAGAAAGATATACGATAATATACACTTTGAAGATTCTACAGGGACTAGTCCCAAATCTGCACATGGAAATCACTCTCTCAGCAGGCAGTGCAACATTCCCCCAAAGAAAAGCAGGGGCACCATGAGTACACTAAGAGACAACACAATAAGTGTCAGGGGCCCAAGAGTGCTCAACTGCCTCCCAGCATACATAAGGGGGATTACTAATAGATCCCTGGCTGTCTTCAAGAGGGAGCTGGACAGGCACCTAAATTCAGTGTCTGACCAGCCGGGCTGTGGTTTGTACATTGGTTTTTGTGCGGCCAGCAGTAACAGCCTGGTTGATCAGGCCCTGATCCACCATGAGGCCTGGTCATGGACTGGGCCATGATGGCGTTGACCCCTGGAACACCTTACAAGTATTATCCTATAGAAACAATAATACAAAAGATAATTATGCAGATCTGCATTCATAAAATAATTATTTTTGGGTGTTTGTAAATCAGGAACTCATTGTATACCAAAATTAATATAGGCACAGTACCAGCTAATTCATTATATTTGTCTCTGAGACTACTATTCAGAAAATATGTGCACCAAAGAAGAGCATAATACCTAAAGACTGGAGATTCACAAACATTACCTACATCTTCAGAACAGAAAGTGGAAAAAAAAAAACTGTAAAAAAACTAACGATTAATTAAGCTTTCCATATGTGCAGACTCCTCAGAGGAAAGCAACAGACAATGATCTGACAAAGCATAATTTCTTCAAAACTTCACAGCATGGATTTATGGGAGACCAATCCTCTGACAAATTTGCTTGCATTTCTTGAGATGATCACCAACCAGAGTACACCTACCAAGGCATTCCTGTTGGATGTGATGTATATGGACTTCTCAAAGGCATTCAAAAAAATGCACATGGAATCACTGGCAAAATTCTGGAATGGATAAAACAATAACTGAAATACAGGCAACAATGAGCTGTTCTAAATGGAGTACTGTAGACTCCAATTAGAATAATGTAACTGAGTGGAGTACCCAAAGAATCCATTCTGGAGTTAACTTTTTTTGTTGTTATACACAGTACTGTACATCAATGACATAGACCAAAACATCTCAAGAGATCGTTGCCTTCACTAATGATCAAAAGTACGACAGGCTATGTAACATCGAGAAATGCAAAATCCAGCATGTGGATGCATAAATGTAAAGCAGATGCCACATTGAAAACAATGGCTTACTACTAACAAAAAGATAAAAGGACCTGGGCTTAACAGCCCACAATTTTTGATAGAATACAGGAAATGGCAGCAGCTGTGATTAGAGATCATCACTGCCTAGGAATTATCAAACATCTTTGGATACAAAGAAGAAATGGTCATTCAGTTTTACAAATCCCCTAAACATCTCCACTTTCACTATTTTAGTACTTTCCTTTAAAGCACTTTACATGTATTTGACAAAGCACTTTATATATACAGTGGACCCTCGGGTAATGATGTCATCAGATAGCGATAAAATCAGATACCGATGTGTTTTTGCATAAAAATATTGGCTTGGCAACGATGAAAAACTCGGTTAAGAATGTTCGTCCCGAATGCGTCTGCACGGCCTGGACTGCCCGCAGCTGCCAGGCCACTATGTAAAGCCAGTGTGCCATTGTTTACAAGCCAGTGCAGATGGTTCCATGCATACATGCGATACATTTTGTATTAAGTATTCCATAGTTTTTAGTGCTTGTAACTGCTTCTAGTGCCAACCCTGTGGTAAATAGGGTGAGAAATACTATCGATTTGAAGAAAGAGATAATCGCAAAGTACGAAAGTGGAGTGCGTGCCTCCGAGCTGGCCCTGGTGTATAACAAACCCCAATCAACCATCGCTAATATCTTGGCCAACAGAAAGGCAATCAAGGAAGCTGTTGTTGCGAAAGGTGCAAGTATGCTTACAAAACAGAGATCACAAATACTCGAAGATGTGGGGAGACTGTTATTGGTGTGGATCAACAACAAACATTGTCAGGAGATAGTGTTTCACAGTCAATCATATGTGAAAAGGCAAGGCAGTTGCATGCGGATCTCATTAAGAAAATGCCTGGAACTAGTGCTGATGCTAGTGAAGGTAAGGCCAGCAAAGGTTGGTTTGAGAGATTTAAGAATCATAGTGGCATACACAGTGTGATAAGGCATGGTGAGGCTGCCAGTTCTGACCTAAAAGCGGCTGAAAAATATGTGCAGGACTTTAAGGGGTACATAGAGGCTGAAAAATTAAAACCCCAACAAGTGTTCAATTGTGACAAAACAGGCCTGTTTTGGAAGAAAATGCCAAACAGGACCTACATTACTCAGGAGGAAAAAGCACTCCCAGGACACAAGCTTATGAAAGACAGGCTAACTCTCATGTTTTGTAGTAATGCTAGTGGGGATTGCAAAGTGAAGCCTTTACTCATGTATCACTCTGAAACTCCCAAAGTGTTCAAGAAAAACAATGTTGTCAAGGCTTATTTGTGGGTGATATGGAAGGCAAACAGTAAGGCATGGATCACTAGGGACATTTTCTATGATTGGTTCTATCATGTGTTTGGCCCCACTGTGAAAAAATACCTCCTGGAAAATAAATTGGACCTCAAGTGCCTCCTGGTATTAGACAATGCTCCTGCTCATCCTCCAGACTTGCAAGAGCGAATTGTGGGAGAGTTGAGTTTCATAAAAGTCAGGTTTTTCCCTCCTAATACCACTCCTCTCCTCTAGCCCATGGACCAGCAGGTCATTTCAAATTTAAAAAAACTGTACACCAAAGCAGTGTTTCAAAAGTGCTTTGAACTGACCTCAGACACTGAATTGACCCTAAGAGAGTTTCGGAAAGATCACTTCAGTATCCTCAGTTGCATGAGCCTTATAGGTAAGGTTTGGGAGAAAGTGACTTGCAGGACTTTGAACTCTGCTTGGAGGAAAATGTGGCCAGAATGTGTACAAGAGTGGGATTTTGAAGGGTTTGGAGCTAACCCTAAGGAGCCTATACCAGTTGTGGAATCTATTGTGTCATTGGGGAAGCCCATGGGGTTGGAGGTTAGTGGCAAGGACGTGGAAGAGTTGGTGGAGGATGATGATGAAGAGCTAACCACTGATGAGCTGCAAGAGCACCTGCAACAGCAAGAGACCACAGCTGAGGAAATTGCTTCAGAGGGGAGAGAGAGAGACTGAGGAAGTTGCCTTCTTCAACAATTAAGGACATTTGTACAATGTGGACAAAAGTGCAAGCCTTTATGGATAAACATCACCTTGACACAGCTGCTGCAAGCTGTGCTGGTGACTTTTACAATGACAATGTTTTGTCCCATTTTAGGGAAATTTTAAAGGAACACCAGAAACAGAGCTCTATGGACAGATTTTTGGTGCAACAGAGATCCAGTGACTGTCAAGCTGTTCCCAGTGGCATTAAAAAACAAAGAAGGGAAGTATCCCAGGAAAAGGACTTGCTACCTAAAGTCCTTATGGAAGGGGATTCCCCTTCCAAACAATAATACACCTCCATCATCTCCCCTCCTCCCATCTCATCACTCATCAATAAATCTCCAATAGAGGTAAGTGTCATTTATTCCTCATGTATTTATTCTTCATGTCTCATTGTTTTCTGTGTAGGGAAATGTATATTTCATGTGAAAAAAACAAATGTTTTTTTAATACTTTTGGGTGTCTGGAACGGATTAATTGGATTTCCATTATTTCTTATGGGGAAAATTAATTCAACTTAAAAACGTTACCCAAGGGTCCACTGTACTTAAGTACAGGTGCTTTACATGTACAATACTTTACAAAGCTCCGCTGTGACTGAAACGATGTTAAATAAAAGTCTTATTCTGTCTATTTGCTGGCTTCTGCTCAAGTTGCAGGTTGCCTGGTGGTGGTGGACTCTGCATGTACAATAAGAGGTGTAAACGAATCGTTCACACAATTAAAAAAGCGAGCTAGCTATACAAACCTGTGTGTGTACTGATAATGACAATAATTTGCTTACAAAACAAGATAAGGATGAAGTTGGTGTAGTTCAATAAAACAGACTGCAGAACACCTGGACTAGAGTTAAAAAGAAAAAAAGCTTCACTTAGTAGCACCATAGTCTATCAGCTGGAAGATCAGTGGTCAAATCAGTGTAAATTTAGTGCCAGGTGATTTGAAAACTTATAAACATAATTTTCAGGTTAGGGTGCATCAAATGACCAGGCACTTGGGTTCAAGGCATGCAAAGACCATCTCACATGAATTATCTTCATCAACACAAAAGGAGAATTTAAGTGTCAACTCATGTGGGTGCCTACAAGGCAAAGATAAATCCTCATTACCTATTCTTCGATGGTCCAATAAAAAAAGGCATAAATGATGGTGCCCCATATTTAATGACTGGCTGTTCTTATTTAAATCACAGGTAAAGGAGTACTGGGCAAAAAAGAACATTACATTTGAGATTCATGCTTTTTACAGTGCCTCTATTTATCCTGCTCATTGCCAAGAAAGCTGGGTAATCTCACAGTTGACAAGTCCTCTTCAATGATTTTTAAGCTTATTTTGTTCCTGTTCATTTTGCTACAATGTTGCAGGATTATAAGCTAAGATCAGGGGAATAAAAAGTCCTTCATGTGCTGCTACATCAGCAGGACTCCAAAAAGGCTCAAGGCACTGGATACAAACACAAAGAGAGGATTACAAAGACTACTAATATGGGCGTATGATCACTGACTAAATTATGGACAGTTATTACGGGATGAGGTAGCACAATTTACTATAAATGCTCGGTGGAAACAAATTAAGGTGATTACTTTACACATACACCAAGGAATCAGGTGAGGGGATTATAGAACTGGCATGGAATATGAGCTTGAAGGCCAAGCAAGATGTAGAGAAACTGATGGATCATGATGATATGAACTCTACTAAGAAAGGAATGTATGAGATAGAGAGAGGATGTAGATAAAAGTATATTTATACAACAAATCCTACAGCTGACTCTGCTTGACTTGAACAATATTACAAGTGTTAATTCATGTATATCCTATCCTTGATACAAGCCTTAACTTGAAACTGTTGCATGACATGCACCAGTATACTGTAAGCTCTACAAATCAATGCTGGGTACCACCACAATATACTGTCCCCACCACCTTCTGAAGACACTCCAACAACAACCACAAAAAAACTAACTCTCCACCTTGACTCAGTAACTATATATCAACAAACCACAACCTTCCACTTTTGTTCAATAACCTTGTATAAACATTACAATATAAGCTATTCAACTTTATGAAGCTGAAGCTACCACAATGTAAGGTAAAGAATTTACAGTACTGTTTAGTTTGGATTTCTTTCAAGAACCTGGAACCCAATCCTATTTTGACCATACTGAAAGATAAACTTAACATTTTTCATGAGGTTATAATCACATTCTCAAGACACTCAGTGTTCCTTGAGAATATGATCAATAACTGTACATCTGTACATCATGAAAGCACTTGGCACTGGTTTTCCTTTCATTGTATTCAAATTACATATTGAGGTACAGTATATGTTTTTGTAATTTTGTTGCATGCATACATAAATAAGTTACCTTTCTGGAGGATTTTCAGTGAGGTATTTACAGTAATGGGAGAGACCAAACTGAGCAATCTGGATGGGGTAGGTGTAGCCTGAGCTCTGCCACTGTGTAGATATTGGCACACCTGCAGAAAAATATGAAAAGATATTCATTAATAAAACTGGGCTAAGATTGTAAAATACAGTATGTTTGAAACAGCAAAGTCCCTTCAAGGATAGGGAGGGTTTCGGGGGGAATCTTGATACTGCTGAAGATCTCTTTATCCAAGGAATTAAAACTCCTCTTCTTCGCTTTGGATCAAACCTGATTGCCTCCCCTTCTCAAGGTACAGACAGTCAAAGGGTTACTCACTTTCATACCATTTTAAAATAATATTAGATGAAATTCTAGGTTATTTTCAACAGATATGTATATGTACTTGCGACTAAAATGCCGGGAGCAAGGGACTAGTAACCCCTTCTCCTGTTTAAATTACTAAATTTAAAAAGAAACTTTCGTTTATCTTTTTGGGCCACCCTGTCTCGGTGGGATACAGCTGGTACGTTGAAAGAAGATGTATACATACTCTTTTCTTGGAAAAAATACTTTGTCACAGAATATTCTATAGTAACAATTAAGCTCATCAAAACTTATAACTAATTCTAAGAGATGAACAAATGGAGATTAATTTCGATGTGGCTGATATACTGCATACTGATGCATGAGAAAGAGAAGTTTGTTTCGCATTCATATTCATGTTTCTCAATCATATTATCTTATCTTCACTGCTAGTATTTTGTCACTCCTACCATTGTCAGTGCCATACAACTTTTCTCACCTTCAGTGCCAGAGATGCACTTAACCCTCTCTCGGGCCTCCACATTATATAGCTCAAAGTTTAAGAAAGTGGCTGTAGGGTTGTAAGTGCCTTGTGGTTGGTACACACGGCTATAACTGTGTGACCACTCAAAAACCTCTGTTCCATCTGCCTTCTGTTCCACATGCCCATACACCTGAAAAATAAAAAGTATAGCTTATTTGATACACAATACATAACACTATACAGTTTTATGGCTTTAGACAAACAGGATAGAGCAAAAACAATGCTCACAATATATCCTGGTATAGAGTTACCTCTATCCTACACAAATAACCCCCACATATATTTCATTCTCCTACGTGCGGGTTATTTGTGTATTGTTCCAGTCATGTTATTGTGCCTTTTTATTTGTTACCTCTATCCTGTTGTTGATTCTAATAATCATTGCCCTCACAGCTTGGTCCTAGACCAGCTGATGGTCCAATTTAGTTAGGCTGTTTGTTTTAGCAACTTGCAGCCCAACACAGGGATCACAGCTTTGTTCATCAAGAATTGACTCAAAGAATTTCAAAAGCCAATAATAAACTTATCCTACCCTAATACATATTTATCTCAAGTCCACTGATTATATTAAAGTATAATAAATATTTTATATAACAAGATTGTCACTTACAATGAATAACAAAATAATTAGGATAAAAATAATGTAATGCATGAGGCATAATGAGAAAGGATAAGAACAGTACTATAAGTCAAGAGAAAAGCAAAGCAATGTAGCAGTACAGAGAAGACAAAATATATTTTCTTGTAATACTTCCCTCTCTACTATCCTCTCCACCATCAGTGTGGCACCTGACACTCCCCCCATCCCCACACACACACACATAATAAATAAATAAATAAATAAATAATATATATATATATATATATATATATAATATATATATATATATAAAATATATATATATATATATATAATATATATATATAGATAGATAGGTACCACCTCTAGAACTGTTATAGGGACCCTCATCCTCAGAGAAAAGAATAAACTTGCTTCAGGGAAAACTCAAGGTTCTCCCTGAGGCTATTTGAGAATTTTCTCCTACCACCCCCTATATTTTATATATATTTTATTTAAAGACAAAATACATTGACAAAACATTCACAAAAATACGAAAGAAAGTAAAACAACATAGGTAACTCAGAGCTACATCTCGAATACTTCGTCCAGATCCCCAGCGGTGGGCCGCGTGCCCAGAATGCTGCAGGCATTTCCTCTCTGGATCGCAACACTTAGTCTCTGAAAGAGGAAGCTGGTCGCCCTGTGGTCCTTGGTTTCTATGATGAGCTTTTCACCCAGCTCTATTAGGAACTTTAGAGCACACTTGCCCCATGCTCCGAGGGTCTCCGACCCTATTGGGATGAAGGTATAGCAAGGGGGAAGGTCTTCATGTTTGTGGATCTTCTGGATCTCCCTGTGGCTGGCAGCTCCACCCCCTTCCACTATGGAGTATGGCAAGTAGGTGTCTGCCAATGTGGCAGCACATGTGTAGTCCTAGGCAATCTGCTTTCCATCCTTCCAAGGTAGCATAGTGGCTCCATCAGGACGCTTTTGACTTCTGTCAGACCTCTGCACTTGGGGTTCCCGTTGAGCTGGGCAACGGGCTGTGGCGAGGCTTCTCTTTATGATGTCATTGACCTCCTCATGCCTGGCATACTTCCCTTCTGCTGTGTGACACACGAGACCATGAAGTCCGAATTGATCAGCTGTCGCCCTGCCGCAAATACACCTATGTTCGGTGAGGATGGGGGCAGCTAGGCGAAGAGCAACACCAATCCGAATGGCCTGTGGGTCTAGTCGAGTGCCCAAGGAGGAATTGGGAACAGCTAACAGGAAATCTCCTGAGTGTTGGTGCCTTCACTGCCAGGAGACGAGCTTTGTCCTTTCCTGAGGCGTTGGAGAGCATTGTGTTTTTGTAAGTGTTTTTTGTGGTCTGAAACGGACTAATCTAATTTACATTATTCCTTATTGGAACAACTTCGTTCAGTAACAACACTCGAACAGCCTTCTAGAATGAATTTTGGCCGAAATAGAGGTACCACATATATATATATATATATATATATATATATATATATATATATATATATAATATATATATATATATATATATATATATATATATAGTGGTACCTCTAATTTCGGCCAAAATTCATTCCAGAAGGCTGTTCGAGTGCTGTTACTGAACGAAGTTGTTCCAATAAGGAATAATGTAAATTAGATTAGTCCGTTTCAGACCACAAAAAACACTTACAAAAATAAACTTACATAACTATTCGAGCTGGGAGCTGTTCGAAATTCAAGGTTCCTCTGTGTGTGTGTGTGTGTGTGTGTGTGTGTGTGTGTGTGTGTGTGTGTGTGTGTGTGTGTGTGTGTGTGTGTGTGTGTGTGTATTATTGTGACCACGAACGAGTGGTATTGATCAATAACAACATTGCACTAGCCAAGGACTCGAACCCATGCTGCTTTGACCTGCCCCATGGTGGGCGAAAACACATGATGCCCTTATCCACTGGACCATACGATCCTTAAGAGTAGCGCATCCAGCAGCACTGAATGTTGTACTTGCTACCCAAGAACACACGATGGTGTGGATGACTCTAGGCTAATTTCATTCTAGTTCCTGTTTGGTGTACTAGTTCAATGAGCAGTATTTTATATTATTGTGACCATGAACGAGTGGTATTGATCAATAACAACACTGCACTAGCCAAGGACTCGCTGAACTAGTACAACAAACAGGGACTAGAATGAAATTAGCCTAGAGTCATCCACACCATTGTGTGTCCTTGGGTAGCGAGTACAACACTCCAACAGCTCATCAGGTCCCAAAAATCATTCATCTCCATTCACTCTTATCTAATATGCTCAAGCACGCTTGCTGGAAGTCCAAGTCCCTCTCACCCTTAAAACATCCTTTACCCCCTCCCTCCAACCTTTTCAAGGACGACCCCGACCCCGCCTTCCCCTACAGATTTATATGCTCTCCATCTCATTCTACTTTAGTCCATTCTCTCTAAATGACCGAACCACCTCAACAACCCCTCTTCAGTCCTCTGACTAATACATTTATTAACTCCACACCTTCTAATTTCCACACTCCGAATTTTCTGCATAATATTGACACCACACATTGCCCTTAGACAGGACATCTCCACTGCCTCCAACCGCCTCCTCACTGCAGCATTTACAACCCAAGCTTCACACCCATATAAGAGAGTACCACTATACTTTCATACATTCCCTTCTTTGCCTCTACAGATAACGTTTTTTTTTGTCTCCACATATACCTCAATGCACCACTCACCTTTTTTTCCTTTATCAATTCTATGGTTAACCTCATCCTTAATAAACCCATCCGCTGACACGTCAACTCCCAAATATCTGAGAACATTCACTTCTTCCTTACTCCCTCTCTCCAATGTGATATCCAGTTTTTCTTTATCTAAATCATTTGATACCCTCATCACCTTACTCTTATCTATGTTCACTTTACACTTTCTACCTTTCCTCCTGCCCCCACCCTCCTATAGCCACAAACTTCTGCCCCACATTCTAATACTGCATTTTTAAAACTATTTTAACCCTCTTCAACCCCCCACTATTCATACTTGCACCAGCCCACCTTTCTGCCAATAGTTGCTTATATCTCACCTGAAAACTTCCTCCTCCCTTTATTTATATACTTTCTACTCTCTCTTACTTATTGTATTTTACCTCTTATCCTATTACCTCTTACTCGACTGTAGCTACAACTAAATAATGATCCAATATATCAGTTGCCCCTCGATAAACATGTACATCCTGAAGCCTACCCATCAACCTTTTATCGACCAATACATAATCTAACAAACTACTTTCATTATACCTTGTATACTTAGTTATCCTCTTTTTCATAAATTATGTATTACCAAATTATTCTTCCTACACATAGCTGATTTAAAGGGCTCCAATTTTATTACCCTGGCACCCCAACTTCTACCTGCACAACTTTTTTACACACTTTAGTACGAAATCCCCAACCACAAGTAACTCTCACACTTGTTTCAAAACTCCTCAACTCGCTCAACATTCCCAAATCTCTCTCTCTCTCTCTACACTTTCTCTTCTCCAGGTGCCATAAATACTTATATAAACCACTCTTCCACTTGCTAACCCTTAATTTACTGCACTTAATCTTGAATATATACATTTATAGTCCCTCTTTCTGCCATAACTTATCGTTCCTTTAGCTCCACTCTATTTGAACCCTGACCTAAATCCAATTCAGTTTCCCCAACTCAAACACTCCCACTCCTTTCAGCTTTGTTTCACTTAAAGCCAGGATATCCAGCTTCTTCTCATTCATAACATCCACAATCATCTCTTTATTATAATTCGCACAACATCAACACACATTCAAACATCCCATTTTGACGGTTTTCTTCTTTTTCTCTTTAGTAGGCTATGCAGGAAAAGGGGTTACTAGCCCACTGTTCCTGGCATTTTACTTCACTTTTACAACATGTATGGCTTACTGAGGAAAGATTCTTAATCCACTTCCCCATTGATATAAAAGGACAAGCAATAAGAACAAGAACTATTAAGATAATATCAATGAAAACTCAGATGAGTGTGTATACATAAACATGTACATGTATGTGTAGTGTGACCTAAGTGTAAGTAGAAGTAGCAAGACGTACCTGAAATCTTGCATGTTTATTGGACAGAAAAAAGACACCAACTCACTTGGCAGGACTGTAGTACCTCTCTGGTTGGTTGCTGTCTACCACGATAAGTTTACACTAATTTAATAATAAACAAACACAATGAAATACATCTTTTTCGTTAGGTTCACAATGATTTTTGCAAAATTATTGCACACACAAATTTTCGATTGCCTTATTCGGCAAGAAGAGCATTGCTATTTAAGTCAAAGTCACAAGTCTTACCTATTTAGCTGGCATGAAATTATATATATATATATATATATATATATATACTATATATACATACATATTATATTACTATAAATATATTATATATATATACTATATATATATATAATATTTATATATTATATATTTTACATTATAATATTATATATATATATATATTTTATACATATAATATATATTATATATATTATA